CCCCCCCGCAATATACAGGACTAAGAATTTATTTTTGAGTTATTATGCAATCATCTCTGTATACAGTACACAAACACAAATCACGACAAAAATATTTTTTGTAATAAAATTAAAATAAGTTATAGTAGATATATGACTTTTAGTGTATAATTTGTTTTTTTTTCTGGTTCTAAGATGGCAACTCCCCCCTCCCAAAAGGAGTATTTCCAGGGGGCAAGGGGAGGGACTTCTGGTGGCAAAGGTCAGGGGTTAGGGGTGGGATGCCCAGTCCCAAGATAGCAGCCAGAGGGCGGGGCACCTGTCAAGGGTCGGGGCTATCCATGTGGCCCTCAATAGCTCAAACCTCATTAAGTAGCCCTCCGCCTGAAATAACTGCCTGCCCCAATCTAAAGGTTCTAAATCTCCAGTGATTCATGGGTGTTACAATGGCCATGATAAAGTATCTAAAATTAGAAAGGTTAGAATTTGAGATTCCAGAATTTTTCACCTCTATCATACAGCAAGGGATTCTGCCTACAAGCAACGTTCATTTTATTTTTCTTAAATATGTGTTTGCTTTGGTAAGAAAGACTCAGAAGTGCCCAAAGCTTGCAGAATGTACTTTCTTAAAGCTTATTTAAAAAGTGTTTTGTAGGTGCTCATTAACACATGGTCAAGTGCTCATCAGAAACCAAATGGCCAAATATCAGGGCTTTTGGAAAATTATCACCCCTTCCTTCCTTCAAGCCATACAATCTGATTTTAAATTAAGTGACTAAAATTTCTACTTCTACTCAATAGCTCAATTGGACCCACACATTTTCAGGCATGCTATAAGAGTTCAAATGAAAGTCATACTCAAAATGTTAAGATATTAAAATAGAATCCAATATCAAGTATATGTTACAATTAATAAGGAGTGTTGTAGTACTAAGTAATATAAATTGAAAAGCATGTCTGCACAGGTATATTAAGAATCAAGGAACACCTATTAGAAACAATCAAGAAAAATCAGAAGCTGCCAGGTTTCTAACACAGTCTCTGCAGTAAGACAACACAGGATGGGGATAATTAAGAAAAAAAACCACTGGTTCTTAATAAACAGGGAAAATATCACCAGCTAAAACCTGGAGGTACTAAGGAAAGAGCAGAGGCAGATTATGAATTGGAGGAGAATGGTTTAAGGAGAAATATATTACCAATTAAATGAAACGGGATAAAATATACTCAAGATACTCATGCTAATTCTACATATTGCCTTTCAGTACTGACTGAATGCTTGATAAAGTGTTTGAGAATACTTTGGCTTCAGTGGAGCTGTGCTACAGAGCATAGCTGTTTCCTTGCCAATACTGTATAAGAAATATAACTGAGTTAAAGAAGTCTATTCTCAACACACTGGAAATTGTGCAGTGTATTTATATATCAGATTACTTCTGAATTGTCTTCCCCTACTCTGTTTAATTGATTTTTGCCATACAATATCTAACATGTTACCTATTCCAGTCTATAAATGCCCAAAGTCTGTATACCAGGTGATAAGCTGATCGTTGACATCTATTCCAGTTCAACTTCTAACTGAACAGTTTCAAGGAATTGTGTTGCCTGACCACAACAGAAATACTAGCTTACCATGTCTCTACTAAGAACTACTAGTAAAGTTTAGAGCTAAAAACATGTAAGCATGAAATACCAAAAATTCTACATGCAGGAAAGAAATCTAGCTTTTCTAAAGAATTAGGCCAGTTATGCTCATATTACCCACTTATTTTTCATCATCCACAATTGAATCTTTCATTTTGAATTTAAGGTCAGTCAAGAACAAAAGACTGACGTCACCTTGGATGAACAACATTCATTTAGCAAGGAAAAAGGTAATTTCCCCTTTCCGAGCCATTTGCAAAATAGTTAGAGATGGAGAAATTAAGAAAGTTTGCTAGTTTGCTTGATTGTGATTAGTTGTGCAAGTAAAAAAATTAGTCGCAATTAATTGCGATTTTAATCACACAGATAAAAACTCAAAATGTTGTGCAGAAAAACTCAAAATTATGCAAAATTATGGAGGTACTTTGTATGGTTGGGGGGTGTGTGTGGGGGATTTGGAGCCCAAGGGGGTGGAGGGTCCCCTGCACACCCTGGCAAGATGCAAGATACTGTGGGTCCAGTGAGGGGCAGCACTGGGGGGTCTGTGGCTTGGGACTGAGAGGCGCGCACACACACAGAGTGCTGTGCTGGTAAGTCTGTGGAGGGGAAGAGGCAGGGGAAGAGGCAGGTCGAGGCCCCCATGGTGAGGGAGGGAGTGGGGCAGGGGCGAATGGGACCCCAGGGCTGGGGCAGGTCATGGGACAGAGCTGTGGGCAGCTCATTCAGGGGCACGGGGGCACAGCTCCCTGCCACTGCACACACCCAAGGGGAGGCATGGGGGGCATGTGCCCCCGATTTGTACACAGGGCAGAGGCAGGCTGTCTGCTGCAGGATGGAGCTCTGTGCCTCTGTGCCATTTGCCCCAGGAGCTGTGCGACACCATATTGCATCTCCCACCGCCAGGTGGGCAGGGGACATATGCTGCGGCCAGCGCATGGCTCCCGGGGCAAAGGCAGCACGGTGCTGCATACCCCTACCCCCATGCCTCTGGATGAGCCTCCCGCGGCTCTGTCCGACTACCTGCCCTGGTCCCAGGGTCCCATTCACCCCAGTGCCTGCCCCTGGCCCCTGCCCCACTCCCTTCCTCAATGAAGGGGCCTCAATCTGCCCCCCCACCCTCTCCCCCTGCCCCTCCCTCTCCACAGACTTAGCAGCACAGCGCTGCTCTACACACAGCATGTAGTCTGCGGCTGCTTATGTACGTCTGTGTCTGTGGGTGTCCTCGCCCCCCCACCCCCGCTGCAGCAGCCCGGAGACTGCGCCTGGGTTGCTCTGTGGTCCTCTGTGCTGACACCGCTGTCCTGCTGGGCAGCCTGAAGGTGGTGGAGTGGAGTCAAGGCATGGGCTCCAAAACCATGTGTGCGATTAACACATTAAAAAAAATTAATGCAAGAACCGATTGAGGCATTATTCGCATGCGTTAGCTACAATTAATTGACAGCCCTACTAAGAATAGATTCAGGAATCATCCAAGTTTCAAGAGAAAATGAAAGGGAATCTGAACAGTCTACTATGTATCATAACACACATTGCCCCCAAAATAGTTAGCATTGCTCTAATGCCTCTCTCAAGAAAAACCATGAGCGTACAGATGTTCAGAATTCTTCTCCGAGAGCAAAGATGGCTGTTCCAGGAGAAAAATAACCCAGGGACAACCACGGTTAAATCACTCCCAAGAGAGTCCTCTGGGACAGCAAATATCTGTATGCAATCTCTTCTGAGAGAAGCCACACCACTGTCCTATAGCATCCCAAGGTACTTTGCTCCCACTACCCAAGGAGACAAAGTGTCATGCACTGGACTTTGCTGCTCTAGCCAAACAGGGAGCAGAACATGCCCCTTTCGCAATCCCACACTGTACTGCAAAGAAACAGTCTGTTTCTGAGCTAATCAGGGCTGCCCTACGCACTGTTGCCATTTTCTCTCTGGGCAGACAGGGAGTCTGCAGAGCAGGCTGAGATGTGTGCATAGAGGCGCCTTGGCTGCACAGCATCAGCCCCACAAGGTCTCCGCTCTTCAGGGGCTCAGCATTTAAATGTGTTCAGGCATCTCTGGGTAAGTTTTTTGACCAGGAGACCAAACCTGGGAGAATTCTCCCACATTGTTTGAACACATGTATGCAGCCAGTGTTTTGACTTCTAAGTCCCAACTAAGACTTACTTATCAGTACAAGTCCCATTCACGCATAAGAATTTTAACAACAGAAGAACTGGCTGATCCATCTAGTCTTCTTTCTGTCTGTTGCAGACAATAGCTTATAACTTGATCCTTCTCTACAATTAATTCCATGGACAACTGTGTCACCAAGTTGAATTGGTGACATCCAATATGTCTCTTCTGGTATAAGAGACATCTACGGATGCTTGCGTCCATAGATGCTTCTCAAGTAAATCTCGGGATGTCGTCCTCCTGTTGTACTCAGCCTTGGTGAGACCACAGCTGGAGTACTGCATCCAATTCTGGCCTCCACAATTCAAGAAGGATGTCAAGAAGCTTGAGAGAAGTCCAGAGGACAGCCATGTGCATAATCAGAAGGCAAGAGAATAGGTCTTATGAAGAGAGGCTGAGAGCCATGGGACTCTTCAGTCTGGAAAAGCGCAGGCTCAGGGGGGACCTGGTGGCTGCTTATAAGTATATAAAGGGTGTACATCAGGAAGAACGTCTGTTCACCAGAGTGCCCCAAGGAAAAACAAGGACCAGAGTCATAAACTCCTCCAAGACTGTTTTAGGCTGGACATAAGAAAAAATTTCTTTACTGTCCGAGCCCCCAACACCTAGAACAGACTCCCTCCAGAGGGGTTGCAGGCACCTACTCTGAACTCATTCAAGAAGCGTTTGGATGCTTATCTTACTAGGATCCTTTGACCCCAGCTGACGTCCTGCCCCTGGGGCAGGGGGGCTGGACTTGATGATCTTCAAGGTCCCTTCCAGCCCTAACGTCTGTAAAATCTATGAAATTATACATAATCCTTCTTGGTCTTCTCTTCCTTAAATGCTTCTGGGCAGGGTCAAACTGACTGAATAGACTGAGTGGCAAGAACTGAATTGATTTCAATTCCATGACTCAGAAATTGATCTTTCAAGTCATATTTTCTATCTTCTATGTTAAATTGGTAAACAGAACTCATCCAAATGTGAACCATGAACCACATACTTCCCTTTTATTTTGACAACATATGACTAAATCCTATTTTATTTTCTTTATCCTAGTTAGTTTTTACACAGCCGGACTTTTGCTAACATCTGCTGAAATGACTCACAGTTTACAAACTAACTACTCTCACTTGGAGAAACATTAGCTGTTGGGCTGAGCTGTCAGGCTGAGTTTAATGAATGTAGCATTTCATACACTAGCTTTTTACTTATTCAAGTTAAAAAATGTCTAAGCCTTTTATCTTATCCTCTGTGCCAGGGGTGGGCAATTATTTTGGGCGGAGGGCCACTTACCCAGTTTTGGCAGGCTGTCGAGGGCCGCATGGCCTAGCCCTGCCCTTTGACAGGTACCCCACCTCTGGTCACCATCTTGGGACCAATGTCCCAATGTTTTGGGACCAATGTCTCAGGGCCAGCACCGGTGGGGCCCAAAGCAGGGCACAGGCTGGCAGGGGTCTGTGGAGCTGGGCTGGGCTGCACTAGCAGGGATGGGGGAGAGCTGGCCCAGCTACATAGAGCTCCTGCTGGCTGGGACCCCGTGCTTCTGCCACCCTGCTCTGGGCCCCACCAGCACTGGCCCCAGGACACCAGTGTGGGCCCCATGCTCCCACTGGCTCCCTGCTCACTCACTCCCAGTGCCCCGCAGCCCACAGTACAGGTGGGGGGGAAATGCACAGCCCCAACCCCCTGCTCGCCGGCAGGAAAAAAGCTGGTGCTGAGCGTGGGGAAAAGCAGCCCCTCACCCGCCCCATGGCCAGCACTCCCTGCTGCAGGCACTTGCAGCCCACGCAAGGCTGTCCAGAGCAGGCACAGGCAGCCCCACACGGGCTGCAAGCAGCTACAGTGCAGGGTGCTAGCCATGGGGCGAGGGAGAGGCCGCTTTTCCCT